GGGGATGGTCATGCAGACGCTTCTCCTTCTGCGTGGAAGAGAAGAGGAAAGATCTGGTTGGGCAAGCCCCCACCCCACTTCTGCTCCCGCTTGGTCCTGCAAGGTGAACATCCCCTGGCTGGACCAGAGGGAGGAGCCTGTAGAACACTGGGGGAAGGCGCCCTCTCCAGGAGCAATGAGAACTGCATCCTGGAGACCTTGCCCAGGGCCTGCTGGGTGGTGGTGGCGGGGCGTCTGCTAGGCACCCCTCCTTCCGGAGGGCCCTGCCAAGGATGGGGGCATCTGTGGACAGGTCACCTGACCCTCTCACAGCCTGGTTTTTGAGGTGCAGGGCTCTGGGGAGCATGAGTGGACCCCCTTTCCCTGCACGGGGCAGCTGGGGGGCTGGCCCCATTGCTCCCCCTCATCTGGGACCACAGTTCTGCCCTGCCTGTCATCCAGGGCCTGAATACTGTCGTTTCACATATTTTATCCCATCTTCTGCTTGCCTCAAGGCAGGAGAATCACTCTTTTGTGACGGTTAGCCTCTTTATTTTCTCAAAACTTCCATATAATAATTCATAATTTTTCTTGTTGGTGATAAAACTGTGGGCATTCCTGAGCCCCTCTTCTGGGTGCACACGGAATCGCTGGGTCAAAAGATGGGCAGACTTCCAAGGTTTTTGGTGCTTCTGCAGAGTCCTCCTTCCCCTCGACCGTGGCACCCCCATCCGCATGGACCACATGCTCTGCGCCTCCACATTCTCACCGACGGGTAACACCAGTGGACAGTATCATCAGCTTCTCAAAAATGTCTCCGTTGATGGGAAAAAATGGTAGCGTCTCTGATTACTAAAGAGACTAAAGGTTCTTTCGCATATTCTTTGGTCACTGATTCTTGTTCCTTCTCTAAATTGCATATTTCTATCCTTTTCCATTTTTATTGTATGTTTTCAAAACCAAGGCTTTTCTTTTAATGAGAAATCTGTATTTCATCAAAGATGGAATGCAGAGTCTGTGGCTCATTTATTCCCTAGAGAAGATGCTTGTGTTTTGTTCTCTAATCTAATAAGATACCAAAAGATATTGGCAAATTGCTTTGCGGCAGGCGAGGCTGGTAGCCGGCGTGCGTGAGGATCATGGCCTCATCGTGCCCTGGTCACAGCTGTCTTGACAGGCCCCTCTCTGCCCTAGGCCCAGGAGCAGCTGGACCCCCAGACCAGGGCTTCTTCCTTTTCCCCGTCCCCAGTGTCCAGGCCAAGGGGGGCCTGGCATGCACTCCAGACCCGGTTTTCAGCTGCTGAAGGAAGGAAGGAAGGAGGCCCAGCAGTGTGGCTGGCGGATCGGGGCCTGGTGCTTAGCAGATGCCAGTTGAATGAGCGATGGTGCTCACGGGGCCCGCGTGAGCTCCGCCCCAGAAGCCCACTGGTGTGCCTTCAAACGCATGACTCCCAGCCCCCTTTGTGTTGGGAAAGTGAGTCAATGTGTAGCTTCTTGTGTTGGCTTTGTGCTCCAACTCCTGTGTCCCCAGGAATTGGAGAAGCAAGGACACATAACCAAGTGATTTCTTAGAGTAAGTCACTGTCCATTTGGAAAATCTGTTTCCTAGAGGAGGACTAGGGGTGGCTGGTCTTGGGGTGGGGCTTGAACCTCATGCGACTTCGCTGTTGCCCGGCCAGTGGGCTCACCCCCTGCCCCCCCGCATGGCCATCGATGGGGCCAGGTGTCCTTCCTGTTGTGCCGTGATGCTAGGCCAGGCTGGCCCCAGGGGGAGAGGGCCCAGAGTAGACTCTGGGGGGACCGAGGGGCGGGGGTCCCACTCGGTGGTCTCGGGCACGTTGCCGGAACACGTGGGACCACAGGCCACCTAGGGAGTTTAGGGCGTGTGCAGGAGTGGGGGAGGGAAACCCAGAGGCAAGCAGGGGGTACTGTCTTGGCCCCCTCCTTTCCCTGATCCTAAGGATGGTCGAGTGGAGCCTGTGACAGTCCAGGATGCACAAAGCTGGGAAGCAGCCGCATAGTCCTGCGTTCTCTGCCGCTGCTGGGCCACCTGAACCAGGGGATGGGCCCAGCGGCTCCCTGGCGGTGCACTTGGTGGCCTTTGCAGGGGGAGGGAGTCATGATGACACTTCTGGAATCTGAGCCCCGTGTCGAGGAGCAGCTGGAAGGGCTTCCATGTCCTCCCTAGTCGATGACCTGTCAAGGCTGGCGGACCATCGACCCACACTCCCAGCACACTCACACGTAGCTCATGCTAGACGCCATCCGTGCAGGTACATGCATTGCTCAGCACAGCCCCTGACTGTAATCCCACTTTCCAGGTGAGATACAGAGAGATGGGAGGTATAAGTCACGTGCGCAGGACCCACGGTGGGAGGCGGACGGGGCTCAGCCCCTTGGCAGGGTGACCCTGGAAGCCAGGCCCTGAGCTGCTCTGTTTGTCTCCCTCTTGGTTGTGGGGAGTCCTAGCCTCTCCCGGGGGTGGATATGCTTGACTTGTGTTTGTTCAGTTCAGACACAGAACCTCCTGGAAAGGCTTGCAGGGAAAGATCAGGCAGAAGGCCTGAGCCGGTGTCCTGGCCAGCCCTTCGGGGGCCCTTGCCACACCACCACGCTCCCCACTGCCCACCAGACATGTAATAGAATGGCTCAAGACCCGCTCTTATTTTGGTACAGCTTTTTGTCCCCATTTCCATGTTTTGTTTTTCCTTTATAGTCCCAAGTGTTGAGCCTAGCAGAACACAGCTGTCTCACCAAACAAAAATAGATCCCATCCGAGGAGGGCTCTGCGGCCACAGACATTCTCATGCTCTCAGCAAAACCAAGTTCCCTTGCCAAGCGCTCTTTGAGAGGATGTTTGGAAAAAATGTCAAGGCATTCATTTTTCTCTCGACCTTTTCGGTTGGAATTGCGGGGCCTTAACACTGGAAGTAAAAGAAGTTTATAAATAAAGGTGCAGCCAATGGCCAGGCCTGGCCCTGCTCTCCCAACTGGCCGTCCGTGGTTTCTCCACAGCTGTTAGTGAGCACGAGGGTCCCCATGTGGCCCCGCCTCTGTGACAGGAAGTTAACGGATGTTTCCATAGCAGAGGGCCAGAGAGCGAGGGTTCCACACCCTACAACCGAAGAGGGAGAACGCTGTCGGGGGGCTTACGGGGGCGTGGCTTCCTGCAAGATGGTGCTGTCTGAAGATGTTTCCACTCTTGGAAGGTTTGCTGAGTCTGTCCAGGATTTTGGAAGTGCTGACTCTTTATTGCCCTTCGGCTCTCTGACAGCACTGTCTGCTGGAGGAATCTGGGCGGGTCTGAGGGCACCTGCCCCTGATGCAGACCAGCTGGCTCTTAGCTGTATTCACTTTCCTGCACTTGCCTGGTTGCGGGTCCTAGACTTCCAGCCAGGGGGGCCATCTGGTTTCCCCAGGGCCCAGAACCTTCCAGGGAGGCCCCAACCCTCACTGCATCCTGAAATGGAGGCCACCCACCAGGGCCGCAGAGGGGGTGTGGTGGTGGGGCCGAGGATGTAATCTGCCACGGAAGATGCCCGTGTGGGCTCTAGCCTGCCCGGGCTGCAGGCCATCTTGCCATGGAGCTGGCTCACACAGGACAACGAGCATTTCTTTTGTCTACATCCAAGGGGGCTTCTTCGGGCGAGTCTGGGGGAGGCCGTGGTAAGGGGCGGGGGGTTGATTCTCGGAAGTGCTGCATTTTACCGCACTGTTGGTCCTTCGGTGGTGCTGTCTACTGTGGAGCCTGAGAGCTCCTGCACGGGGTGCACACCCCTGACTCTGTAGCCCCCAGAGTAGATTCCATGGGGTCCATCTTCAGTGGCATCTGCAGAGTGGCTCCCTGCAGCGGTGTTGCCCCCTGATGCGCCGCGGACGCTGGAAGGCCCGGGGGCGGGGGCGGGGGCGAGGTGGCAGCTTCGGCACCCAGGGAAGAGGCGTAGTTCCGCTTTCCAGGCCCTGGGTCTGGGCTGTGTCACGTGCAAGGCCGTCACGGTCCTGCCCTGACCCCAGCTTGTGGTGTTGAGGAGTGAGCTCAGGTCTAGAGGAGACAAGCAGCCTGCGATAGCTCCCGACAGTCCTAGTTTGCCTTTTTTGGAGGGGAGAGGACTGGTTTTGGTTTCAAATTTTGATTTTTAATTTTATAAACATGGTATGTTCATATGGAAAGTTTGGAAATTATAAACAATAATTATGTAGAAATCCTTTTGTGATCTATCAGTAACATCGATTATCATTTTGGAATGTTTTCTCCCAGCGCCCCCCCTTTAGTATTTTTCAAACACAGTTGAGATTCTGTTTCATGTACAGTTTTACAGAATGTACTTGTCAGCTTTGAAATAGGCTCATCTGCGTTTTCGATACGGGCTACAGGGAAAAGACCAGATTGCCGACGCTTAGCTGTGGGAGAAGGAAATCTAAAAATACCCCTTTCGTTGGCCTGGCACAAGGAACCCCATGGCTCCACGTTTTCCTCCCAGTAGAATAAAGGCAGAATTAGCCAAGACGAAGAGTGGACCTTCTGGTGGGTGTTTGGTGTTTACACTCACGGGGCACATGTCGTGCTGTCCCCGTCAGGCCCAGAGATGAGGAAGGGGCGGTCACAGGAAGGAGCACTGGAGCATGGCCTGGCCTGGCTGTGGAGGGGGCTGGAGTCCAGCGCCTTCCTCAGGAACCTTGGTAGCTCTCCAACTTCTTCTGCAAAGCAAACACTTTGCAGGGAGCTAGAGAGGTCCTCTGTCAGACACCCGCTACTTCTTCACCCAAGACTCACTCTGGTTGCAAGAGGAAAGCTCCCAACCGTGGAAGAGCATTTGTGGAAACTTCTGCTTTCAGTAAGATGGAGTAGAAGTACCCTTTCTGATTCCTCCAGCTAAGTATCACTAAAAACCCTGGACGTTGGGTATAAAACAAACATAAGACTCTGGAAGGTGGAGAGAAGAAGGCACACAGGCTAGTGATGTTGGGACCCGAGAAATGACACAGCAGTGAACTCCCTGGGTTGTCTTTTTACGTCCTAGATCCCAGACTTGAAGTTGAAGAGGCCGGACGCTGGAAGCATCAGTGGACACAGACGGAAAAGCCCCACAAAGCCTACTCTCTCTAGCCTACAGACCAGGAAACAGGCAGCCTAGCAAGACCGCAAACTCGTAGACAGTAACCCTCTATGCCAGCCAGATACCACAGCAAAGCTGTGGTCCGTCTCCATCCGTGCCAGCCAGGGCTGAATGTGGAGCCAGAACTTCCACCTTCATAAAGCTGTCATGAGCCCCCACCACTGGGGAGGGGCAGTATCAGAGAAGGCCAAGTAGGGCGCCAGGAGCCAGGAGGTAAGGAGAGCCCCTCTGCTGGGCTAGCGGTGGAGACCACACAGAGATCCCCCCATCCAGTGGTAATAAGGCCATCTCGCTCCCTCCTCCTTCCCGTACGGAAAGCAGTTATGAAGCATTTCTGCTTCTCCCAACCAGGGTGGAACTCCCACCCTCGACCAGCAGTAAGAAGAGCCCCTCCCCCACCTCAGTGTCAGCAGAGGACAAGTGGGGAACCTGGACTTCTATGAACCTCCCTGGTAGTGATGTGGCAGCTCTAACCCCCTTCACCTGCCAGAGGTGTGTCCAAAAACCAACTAAAAGGGAAGGTTTAAATAATATCTAGAGTCTTGTACCATAATACCCCAAATGTCCAGGTTTCAGTACAAAATCGTTATCGTGCCAAGAACCAAGAAAATCTCAACTTGAATGAGGAAGGACAACCAATAGACTCCAGCACTGAGATGACACAGATGTTAGGACAGAGATTTTTTAAAGCCTCTATTACAAGAATGCTTGAAACAAATGATAAAGAAAGTCTCGGCAAAGACATAGAGGATCCAAAGAAGAGCCGAATGACAATTGTGGAACTGAAAAATACAATAGCCGAAATAAACTCAAAAGTGAGGGGACAGAGGAAACAATCTGTGAACATGAAGATAGAGACAGAGGTTATGCAGAGGAGAAAAAAACGGGCTGAAGAGAATGAACAGACGTTTCACCAAAGATGATATACACAGATAGCAAATAAGCACATAAAAAGATGTTCAGCATTGTTAGTCATTAGGGAGATGCAGATTAAAACCACACACGAGGTATCACTACTCGCTTCTCAGAAGGGCTAAAATAAAAAGACAGTCACAAGAGCACAGGCTGCTAAGGATGCTGAGAATCTGGACGGCTCTGGCCTTGCTGGCGGGAATGTGAAATGGTACGGCCGCTCGGAAAACAGTTCGGCAGTTTCTTAAAAAATCTAAACATGCAACTATCATAGGACTCAGCAGTGGTACTCCCGGGCATTGCTCACAGAAAAATGAAAACTCATAAATTCACACGAAAGCCTGTACGTGGATGTTCATAGCAGTTTTTCTCCAAGCCTGAAACTGGAAGCGATTCAGATGTTCTTCAGTGGGGGGAAGAGTTTCACTGTATATCCATTCCGTGGAGTATTGTTTGGCAAAGAAGAGAAACACACAGTTGATGCACTGGATAAAATCTCCAGTGAAAAATGCCTGTCCCCAAAGGTTATGTACTATCTGACCCTGAGTATACAACATTTTCAAAATGATAAAATCAGTTTTAAAATGATAAAATTATGGTGATGGAAACCAGACCGTTGGTTGGCAGGGATTAGGGAGCGGGTGTCGGGACAGGGGAGGGACGTGGTTACAGAAAGCACGAGGGGCCCTAGGACTAGGGACTGGGACCTGTGTTTTGAATATAAGGATGTCAGTATTTTGGTTTTGACGCTCTCCTGTAGCTTTGCAAGATACTACCATTGAGGGAAACAGGGTAAATCTGGGCTTAGTAGATTTCTCACAGCTGCGTGTGAATCTACCATTGCTGTAAGATAAACAGTTGACTGAAAAAGCAGTGGAACAAGGAGGGGGCTCCCTTTGTATGTGGCCACCAGAAAAATGCCTGTGATGTCATCGGAAGTGCCAGGGGCTGATGGTGAACTGCTTAAGAGTGACGCTGATTCTGGAATGAGCATGCTTGTGGGGAAAGGCTCTGGAAGACAACCTACCCAGACACTCAGGTGGCTAAGTTGGGGGACTGGATCCACCTGTCGTCTGTCTGTCTGTCTGGTTCCTCCGTGGGAGACAGATGAGGAGGGGGCGCTTGCGGTGTGATGCGGGGGAGGGTGGGCAGCGGACTGTGCTGTGGAATTATGGGTAATGTTTTTTCTCTGCCTGTAAGTTCTAAACACGTGTCCTGATTATATTATTATTATTATTATTATTTTATGATGGAAGAAGTTACATTTTAAAAAAGGAAACCACATGAGCAAAGTTAAGGTCTTCTGCTAGCCATTCCCAGAGAGCTCGTAGGGTATGCTGAGCCACCAGACGGTCATCTGACAACAGCTCTGGTTCTGGGGAGCAGAGGGGGACAAAGCTCTGCCTAGTTTGCTGCTGGGGCTTTGCCCTGCACTTCTCAGACACGAGCGCGTCCCTGGCCCAGATGGCTGGTGGTGGGTCTCACCTGCGCCAGACCTGGCCTGTCTTCCCAGCCAGCAAGAAGCCAGGAGGCAGGAGCGAAGTGGGGCTGTCCCAGGATCCTGTGTGTCTCCATTCAGCAGTGATGTCCTCACCCCCACGTATCCCGTGTTAGGCTCTGTGATACTGTGACTTATAATAAGAAATATAGATTTGGTCCTCATCTTCATTTCTGGCACAGAGCTCCTAAAACCTTTGGAATCCCCTCAGTGGTGAGAGCTTTAAAGGTGTCTCATTCCTAACAAACCCCTTTCAACCACCTCTGAGTTTTTGTTAATGAGATGACTTCTGGAAACCTCTTAAGGATGGGACTGGTTGCCATGTTGGTACTTGGTGCCTCACCCACCAACCCCCTGGGGGAGAGGAGGAGACTGACTACCATGGCCAAGGCCAAGGATTTCAGCAGTCATGCCTACGTAAAGAAAACTCCCTAGAAACCCAGAAGGATGGGCTTCCAGGAGCTTCTGGGTTGGTGTAGCCGTGGAGGTACCAGAAGAGGGACGTGCTTGGAGAGGGCGGGACAGCTCTTCACCCCTTGCCCTGGACCTTGTCCCGCAGCCTTTATAACACTCTTTATAATAAACTGGTATGCATAAGGAAATGTTTCTCAGTTCTGTGAGCTGCTCCAGCAAATGAACTGAAGCCGAGGAGAGGGGCGCGGGAAGCTGAGTTGTAGCTGGTAGGTCAGAAGCACAGTGACAGTCTGGGCTGTGATTGGCATCGGGGTGGGGGGGTGATCCCTTGACCTGGGGGATCTGAGGCTGTCACCAGGTAGACAGTGTCAGGGTTGGGTTCGATGGGGAGCCACCTGCTGGTGTGGGAGAAACGCCCGGTGGTGTGGGCCGCCCCACGCATCCTGCAGAGGTCACACCGGGCCCACCTGAGATCCTCAGAGGTCTTTGCTGGGCGAACCCCCCTTCCCATAGCAGCAGCAGCCAGCTGAGAGCATGTTTGAGGAGGTCTTTTTTCCTCCCTTGGAAATCTTTTTTGGTTGAGATGGACGGTTTTGTCTGCTTGCTGGTTCTTTAGCTACTTGCAGAAGCCAGGACTGGCCTCCTGTGCGTCCTTTCCTGGAAATTGACAAAAACACAGGTGCCTGCTGGCTCGCTGTGCAGGCCACCGTCCCCAAGATCTCGCTGGCCTTTCTCTATGAAAGTGTGTTTATGCATAGGGTGACGGTTTAGTTTGTGGGGAGCAGGACCCGGCGAGCTGTGTTTCCAGATTTTGCACCTATTTTTAAGAAGGGCACTATTTTTAAATTGATAGCCTCCAGCCCAGAGTCTGTGTGGAACCCTGTGTCCTTCGGAGTGGTCACTGGAAGAGGGCCCTGTGCCCCAAAGCCTGATGAGGAAGTGAGGCCGTGTGGCCACCCAAGAATTGCAAGGTGGTTTTCTGGGATCAGTTCTTGGCCCATCCAGTTTTGTCAGTGGGGGGATAGGAGCACAGCTCCCGTCGTCCCGGCATGCAGCGGGAGACCTGGGCAGCATTTGACCTTGCTTGAGGCCACCGGGAGGCAGCTGAAGACACTGGCGCCCAGAGCCTGGAACGTGGCCACCTGCTCGCTGCTCCAGCCACGTATCGTGTTCCCGTTGGCCTGAGCCGGGTTGGAAGATCACGGCTGCCCTTCCCTGCTTGTGTGTGAAGGAGAAAATTGGCCCTGATGCCTTCAGAAAGGCAACAAAACTAAGGCACCAAAGTGGACAGTGAGCGCCCCTGCCGTCCTCGGGGGACGTCTAGGGAGGTTGGCCCTGCACGGGCAGCCTGGTCCCTGGGGGGCCTGCAGAGCTGGACTCAGCCTCTGTGCTGTGTTTGTTGTGGGGGTTGTCAATGCCACACTCAGGCATCTCGGCAAGCGAGGCTCCAGGACAGGTGCCCGAGCCCAGTGATTCCCCAGCCCGGCTGGGCCAGCGAGTGGCACCTTCTCCAGTTACTCCCTTGGGGGGGGGGGGTCCTGGAGGCTGGGTGCCATGGCATCATATCCCCTCCCCATGCTCAGAGGCTGCTTGGCATCTCTGGGTCCCCAGGGAGACCCACTCTCAGAAGGGGTTGTCCTTGCCCCCCAGGGGCACGAAGCTGGGAGGCCGTGGGTGCTGGCCACCACTGCTGGGTTTCTGCCCACTTTCCTCTGGGCTTCCCAATGTTGACACAAAGCCTTTTGGCTCAGGGGACGCGTGTAAGGGGAATTTTGGTCCGCGGAGCGAGCTGGGGCCAGCTTGCACATCTCTTCTCCACTCTGTTCAGCAGTACCGAGTCGGCAGCCTGAAATCAGCCTTGGCGAAGTGTTGACACAGCCGTCGGCAGATGCTCACCCACCAGGGTTTGCTCCCACCCCCTCAGGAAGCACTGGCACACCTCTAGCTTTTGGGGTCTTTTGTGCAGAGCGAGTGGAATCCCAACAGAAATTTGGCCAGGTCTCCGTGAGGCTGTTAGGTTGAGAGGTGGGTGGGCAGCCGAGGCCAGGGGTCTGAGGGCGAACAGCCATGCCTGGAGGCTGTTCATCCCGGCCACCTAAGTGGTTTCCACTGGATTTCCCCAGGTGGCCCCACTTTGCCCAGAAGCAGCACCCTACCTCCCCAGGTCAGGCGCCCCGTTTCTGTGGGTGCTGGCCACACGCCCTTAACCCGGCCTACAGAGCTCCCTGTCTAGTGAGGGGGGTCCCACAATGAGGAGTGCAGGGGAGAGGAAGGGGGCGTTCCTTGGGACTCCAGAACCTCAGAGCTGGGGCTTCCGCCCTGGTCTCAGAGTCCCCAAGGGTGTGCACCTGGCAGCCCCCTCCTCTGGACCCTCCAGCCCGTTGTCCCCACCTCTGCCGGGGCTGACTGCTTTTGGCACGGTCCCCACAGTGCCTGCAGCTTCCTGTGAGCCAGGTCCTGCCTTGCTCAATGCTGCGCCGTTTCTGCCACGTCTCTAGGATGTGGAGGCAGGTATGTGGGGCCATTAGGACCAGCGTAGCGGAACATTCCTACGTACGGGGTGGCGCACCTGAGATGCATTTCTCCTGGGTGTGAGCCTGGCAGTGGGAGTCCTGTGTCTGGCATTGTTCTTCATCACAGGCCCGTGGGGGCTGGGGGGACACACCAGTCTCATTTAAACTTGACACCGTCGTCCTGCTGGTAGTGACCTTTCCCCCCGGGAAGCTGAGGCACAGGAAAATGAAGTGACAGCAAGTACCTGGGGACACTGATTCGCACCCCGGTGGTCTGTAACGAGCTTGTGCTGGTAACCACCACGCCAGCACCATCCCTCATCACCTGGCTGTGGGCGTAGGGGAGTCACCTCTGCTTCATGAGAAACTGGCCCATAGTGGGCCAGCACAGGGCCAGCCTATGTTTTGGGGCTCTGAGTGCCCCTCCACACACGGAGCCTGGGTGAGGCTCCTTCCAGCCCTGGTCAGCACCCCTGCGACTAGGAGTGTGTCTGTCCTGCCTTCTGTCCCCCCACCCGCAGGGAGCTGCTCTCGGCTTCGCCTGGGCGTGGGACTGTGGGGCTGGGCAGCTGGGAGGCTTCGGCTCCTGCAAAGATTGGGACTTCTTTTCTCTTGATAGCTTTGGGTCAGGCATTTGGGGATGTGCAGATGTAGGTACGAGGCCTCTCGGCCCCTTCAGGGTGTCACCAGCTACACAGCACGGTGGCCCCAGTGGGACGGCCATCAAGCTGATTCTCTACAGCTGTCCCGGGTCGGGCCAGTGCTGAGCTTGGTCATGCTCTGTCTGAAGGCAGAGCTGAAAGAGCCAGGGTTTCCAAAGCCAACAGGATGTGGAGGGCATGACAGCCTGAAAACAGTTTGTCACATGTGACTCGTTTGCTAAGAAGTATTTGCCGGGTGGTTCGATGCGCCTGGCAGCCCAGCTGGGGGTTCGCTGCCTTCAGGGAGCGCAGGGTCTAGAAGGGAGACAGGTGCCATCACATCAGATGCGATGAACGCTGTGAAGGGAAAGACCCAGGGCGCATGATGTTTTTGGGTAATGACTGTCAACAGTAAGTTTTCTCTTTTTTTTAAATATTTATAACGTACAGTAAAATGCATAATTCTGGAATGTACAGCTTGATGAATTTGTACACATGTGTACAGCCACCACCCGGATCCATCTGTGTAATGCGCCAGGCCCCAGAAGGTTCTC